CTTTTGCAACCCTGCTGTACCTTGGGAACACCTGACAGTTACGTATGTCACCTGGCACTGTTTGTCTCAGCACAGATGATGAACATATGCTGGTTCCAGAAATTTTCCCATCCTCCCCACCCTCACATGATGCAGAGGTCTCTGCTCTGCTTGACGCAGTTCCTTGCTTCCCTTCGCTCAGGCCTTGCCATACCGGTACTTGGGCTTTTGTAGGAGCAGAAGTGGGGTAAGCGCTGGAGGAAAGTTCTGTGGGGGAGACTTGCGACTCCAAGAGTGGTTTTAGGAGAAAACTGTGGGACAGTGGTCATGTGTGGAGACAGTGGGTGGGAAAAAGAGGGGAAAAAGGAAATTTTGAGAAGTATTGTTGATAGAATCACTTTTCAGGGCAGTTTGGCAATCGGTAAAGTTAAAAATGAGTGCACCCTCCCACTCAGCAATTCTGTTTCTCGGAATATGCCCTAGAGAAACTCTCACATGTGCACCTGGAGATATGTCCAAGGATGTTCACTGAAGCACAATTTGTAACCACACACACACAAAAATTGGTGTAAATATCCATCAGTAGGGGGAAAAGGATAACTAACTGGTATTGTTGTGCAATGGGACGCTCTACAATGAACCACAGGTATATAAATCAACCTGGAAAGACCCCAAAAATATAACATGGGGTGAAAAAAGCAAGTTGCAAAATCATCCATACAGCATAAAGCCATGCATGTATTTTTTTTTTCTAAAGATTTTATTGGGGAATTGGGGGAGAACAGCATTGGGGAATCGGGGAAGTGGAACAAACAAGTTGCTGCCCTTTGTTCTTCAGTCTAGTTGTGGAGGACGTCGCTTCACTGGCCCATGTTGGTATTGTGATCATTACGCTCTTCCTGGGTGAGGCAGATTGGTCGCCGGCCTCTGGACGGCCGCTTTCGGTGGCTTTTGGCAGCTCACACCGGCTGCCACCCACACACAGTAGCTTACGGCAGCCCACTGCAACAGGGGCTGCAGCCTACACCATGCCAGCGACTCACAGCAGCCCAGCTCCTGGTCAAGCTGTTATTCACCATCTTACCTGTAGAGGGCGCAGTGTCACTGGCCCTCATGTGGGATCCAAACTGGGGCCCTGCTGCTCAGAGCAGGCGTCCCAAGCCAGCTCCTAACCAATGCGCCACTCGGCTGGCCCAGGAGTATATGTATTTTTTTAAAGGAGGGGGTAATGGAACAACATTCACATTAAAAATTATATATCTGTGTCCTCACTGGAACCATGTTTCCTTTCATGGCACTCAGAAGAAGCATGAGTAAAGGAGTTCAATATAAAGTGGTTTTTATATTGCTTTTGACGCAGCAGTCTTGGACCTCAACAACAGCTCACTGGACTCTGACCTTGTGCTCAGCATTGTGTGGCTATCTGTGTATGTGTGTCTGTTTCCCCTGCAAGAGCTCTCCCCAGATTGTCCTACTCACCTCTGTACTCCCAGCCCTGAACTTGCCATAAAGAAGGTGCTAGTAAATGTTTAATGGATGATTCTGATATGCTCATTTCCATCTAAATAATGAGGGCAGAAACCACATTTCAGGGCAGGAACCACATCACCTTCCCGCTCTGAGCCCTCCTCTGGAACAAGGAATGAATGCTCATTGAGGGAATGAATGAATAAATGAATGAATGTGGTCCTCCTTCCTCAGCCCATCAACGGAAGCAGAAAACACATGGCCCTTCCCTCTCCACCATGAGTCTCCTAAGGAGCTGACAACGTCAGTTTTTCTGCAGATTCTATCATGTTTTTCTGCCCGCATTGAAAAGCCAATGATTGTGTGTGGTAACAGGGTGACTGGCTTCCTGGGACCCTCCTAGTTTTAGCATTCAAAGCCCTGTGTCCTGGGATCCCCGTCAGTCCCAGGCAAACGGGGATGTTTGGTCACCCTATAGCAACCCCCTTCTTCTCTCTGGGCCTCATTTTTTCCCTCATCATCATATGAGAAGGTTGGTTCTGGTCTTGTCTCTACATATCAGGTCTAAGATTTTAGGAACAGGCTGGAGGGGAAGAGGTGAGTCAAAGAAGGAAGCCAGACTCAAATTAGGATTTTCTGAGAGATCTTTATTTGTTTTGCAGGATGTGGATGAGTACTGCCACCCAGGCTGTGGTTCTAGTGGCTTGCCATGGTCTGGAAAAAGAGTGGAGGGAAAACCCAGAATAGTCTAGTTAGGATCACAGGTTCTGAAGCCAGATGGAACTGGGTTCAACTCCCAGCCATGCCATTCATTAGCTGTGTGACCCGGGGAGAGTGACTCGGTCTCTCTGAGCCTCAGTTTCCTCATCTGTATCATGAGGGTAATCATAGTAGTTACCTCATGGGGGGAGGTTAATTAAACTATTAACTAAGGTGCTCATCGTAGAGCCTGGCACATATTTAAGTAGTCTATAAAGAGTGGCAATTACTGTTATGAACACTATTAATCCTCCCTGACTACTCATCCTCACATGAGACTTGCACTCTCCCTGGGGCCTGGCTTCCCCTATCACAGCGCTCACATTTCATCATTATGGCTCATTTAATTATCTGTCCCCCATGAGGCAGCCCTTTGACACATTGCTCTGTCCTCAGTGGCAAGGAAAGACCTGGACCAGAGGAGGCACTTGTTGAAATAAGGAAGTTCAGCAGTAGTTCAAAGCTCCACCCAGAAGCCACTGAAGTCCTTGGGGCCACAATGTAGCAGAAAACATCCCCAAACCCTGGGAATGTCCCCAAGGGCTCCTCCACTACTGACCTTCTAGGATCCGTGGATCCCCCCCCTCAGGGTCTGCTGTCTTCACCCATCCCCCTGACACCCCTCAGAAGAGCAGCACCCAGTGCCCTCCCAGCTCGCCTGCCTGCTCACCTCCTCGATCCACTCATTGAAGGCTGAGACGCGTGTGAACACAGTGGGCTTCTTGCGGGCGTTGCAGCCAAAGGCAGAAACGAAGCTGGCCACACCATGGACCTGCCAGGAGCCGTCAGCGGCGGGACAGTTGAGGGGTCCTCCAGAGTCACCCTGAAATGGCCAGAGAGTGGAGGGGGGCTGAGCTCTGTCTGAGCTTTAAGGAATTGGTTCTGACTTTGGAGATTCTGAGAAACGTATATTATGTGACTTCTCTGAGCCTCAATATGTTCATTCGTGATGGGGAATAGCATCTGTCTTACGGGATCTTGTGAGAATTAAATGAGATGATAGATATACGATCTTAGCACAACATTTAGTAGAAAGGAAACAATCAATAAATGGTAGTTCTCGTTATTAGTACCATAGCTAACCATTAATATCGGTATTCATACTCAATTATAATACAATGATAGTTTGGATTAATTATAACCTCAAGACAACAGAGTCGAAGGTGCCTTTAGAGGTGATAGAGTCAGTATCCCTTGCTGGGCTGCTGGAGAAGCCTGAGGACCAGGGAGGGACAGTGATTTGCCCAGGACAAGTCAGTGTGTGAGCTGGGACTAGAATCTAGACGTCTTGACTCCCAGGTCAGGGCTCTGTTTCTGAACTCTGCTGACCTCCTCCCAGTCCTGCCTGGCCTGAAGGCTGAAGGGAGCAAGCAGACAAGTTTCCTCCTCTGCCCTCCAGGCGGATGGCCCTGCCTGCCCAGCTGAGTGACTGTAGCCCAGCACCACCTAGGGCAGGTGAGAGCTGACTCACGTTGCATCCGGAGCGGATGTCTCCACCAGCGCACACCATGGTCGTCTTCAAGGAGCTGCCCCACCAGTCCCACTTGGAGCAGTGCTCGTAGTCCACTACGGGCAGCAGGGCCTGCTGCAGCTTGTCTGGGAGTGCCCCACCGGCTGTGGGGATAGACAGCACTGAGCAGGGGTGGGGGGAGGGGAGAGGATCATGGGGCACAGGACTCAGGCTGGAGTCTGGGAGTCAGAGCTGGGATCCCCGGGGTAGTGGGGAGGGGTTGAGGCAGGCAGCTCTTCTGGTGGGGAAGATGGGGACTCCCCTCCCACCAGGTTATATGGCCCTGCCTGCTTCAGAGGTCTGCACCTGGCACACAGGAGACATTTTTTAAAAATGTTCAATGGAACACATTCATGTGTGGGGAGAAGGCTGCTGCTGGAGGAGGAATGTGAAAAAAGTGCAAAAACCAGTCCTGGTATTGCCCGCCCCCCTGGCCCCCAGGCCCTGCCCCACTGTCCCTGTGGCTGGTTGGGAATATCAGCACGTACTAATGAGACGGCCCCAGCCGCTGATGTAGCAGGGCGCCTCGTTAGGCAGGATTTCACCGGCAGGAGGGAGGCAGGCGAGCTTGACTGAGTCTCCCAGCTGGGCAGGGCGAGACAGCTTGATGAGGGCGATGTCATTGCTGGGGAGAAAGGAATAGTCACTGGGAGCCTGGACCTCCAGCCGGACCAAGCCCACCTCGCACCTTTGCTCCAGACATTTCACCTCTGGGCCGGCCCCCACTGCTCCGTTTCCTTCCAAATCCCACGCACTCTTAAAGCTGAGCAACTTTAGAAAGCCCTCCCGGCCCCTTCAGCACAGGCTGACCCTGGGCCTTCACAACTGTCCCCAGCTTTTACACCCGTGGTTCTCACTCTCCAGCTGCATCAGAATCTAAGAACGCTTGTTAAAATACAGGTTGCTGAGTCCCATCTCAGAGATTCTGCTGCAGTTGGTCTGGGCGGGGCCCAAGAATTCACATGTCTAATGAGTTCCCAGGGGAGGCTGACGCTGCTTGCCTGGGGGCCACACTTTGAGAACCCCTGCTCTCAGTCTTCATCCTTTTCCTTGTCACTCATTCCACCTGGGTCCAATTATTCCTTCCACTTACCCCAAGAGCCCTGTGAGGACAGGCCAAGGTCTTGATGATCATGGCCCCTCGCTCCCGTACTGCACTTTCAGGGGTTCTGCACTCTTACACTCTCACCAGAAAACAGCTAAGCCACCCAGATACACAACTTTGCATATGCTTGAGGGGCTTAAGAGGCCCCGCTTTGTGTCCTCACCCAGTGATTGCCTCCTTGACCTTCATAACCACCCAGGAAGCTCAGAAGGTCACCCTTGACAGGCGGTAAAACTGAGGCCCAGAGAAGGACAGTGACTTGCCCAGGCCACACAGCAACTTAGTATTGGAGCCTAACTCTTAGTCCAGTGCTCCTCGTTTTGCCCACGAGGTGCCAGGAACCCAGGATGCACTGGATGAATGTCTGTTGAATGGAGGAACCCTTGGATTTGAGATGGGGGTTCCAGAGGAGTCCTGGTTCTGAAGCCTACTAGCCAAATAGCTTTTGGGGAGTCCCTGCCCTTCCTTGGGCCCTGCTGTCCACTCCATAGACAGAGAGGTCTGGCGTAGACAATCCTTAAAGGTTCTGCTGGCTCCGCCCCTCAGTGTGTGGGACCTGGGCACAGGCTGTTGGATCCAGCCCCACTGACCCTGAAAGTCTGCTCAGAATCAGCTCTGGGTCACGGAAGGATGACCAGAGGAGCTCCTAGGTCTCGGGTCTGAGAGTTCACTCACCCACAGGCCACACAGTTGGGGTTCCAGAGTGGATGCACAAAGAGGTCCTCAGCGTTGATAGGGATCACCTGCTCGGGGCCCTCGTTCTCAGCCCGGTCGTACTCTCCCAGCACCACCTGGTAGGTGAGGGAGCTCCTGCCGGGGCGTGGAAGGTCAGTGTAGGCTTGATTGGCCTCCCTCGCTCCCTCCCAGAGTCACCCACCACTCCGGTCTGCCTGGGTCTCATGCAGGGACAGGGGCCAGAGAGACAACTCACGAGATGCAGTGGCCTGCAGTCATGACCCATTGGGGGTCAATGAGGCTGCCGCCACAGGTGTGGTGGAAGGCTCCATTCTTCTCATACTGCAGGGAAACCTGGTAGCCAGGGAGGGAGAAGCCTGAGTGGCTTGGACCCCACAGTGAGGGGCACGTATAGGTTGTGCCCTATACGACTCTAGAGGGCATCATGCGTGCGGAAAAAAATGATGCCCCCTAGAAATATATACAGCTGTATATATATATATATATATATATATACACAATCTATACAGCTGTTCATAGTAGCCTTGTCGCTTTTCAACTAGAATCATATTCTGACTCTCCGAAGCCCTCCCACCCCAGCCCTATGACCTCCCTGGGGACCTCAACATTCTCTGTCCTCTAAGATATCTCCAAACTTTCTGTCTCTTGAGAGCCCAAGGCCCTCTGTTCCATGAGGCTCCCCGTTCTTCTGAACCTCAGTTCTTTCACGGCCTCTTGGGCCCTCGGAGGCGTAACTCCCCAAGTCTTGTGCCTCTCTTCTCGTTTCCTACATTCTGATTTTCAAAAGCTCCCTCTCAACCAAAGATTGGCAAACTATAGCCCATGGGCCAAATCTGGCCCATGGCCTGTTTTTGTACATAAGATTATTGGAAAATGCTCACTCATTTATTTATGTATTATCTATGGCTGCTTTCATGCTACAAGGGCAGAGTTAAGTTATTGCAATAAAATTATATGGCCGACAAAGGCTAAAATATTCACTCTCTGGTCTTTTATGGAACAATTTAGCTGACCCCTGCTGTAGACCAGTGCCATCCAATAAGACTTTCTGTGATTATGGAAACGTTCTATAACTTGGCTGTCCAATATGGCAGCCATTAGTGTAGCCCTCTGTGCCTTCCTCCAGTGACCTCTATAAATCCCTTCGTCCCTTTATTGCTCTTACATCTTATAGCCCTTTTATATAAGTCGAGGAATCTAGAAATGAGTCCCCCAAATCTCCCTCACTAAACATAGAGCCTGAAATTCCACTTAAAGCACCAACCCTTGGGTTAAACATTGCCCTCTCCCGATTCCACTTTTAACTTGCAAACATCCCAGCGAGGGTTACAGATTGAATGGGCAAAACTTCCACGTGGAGTAGATTGTCCAAGGGTTCCCTGGCCTTTGGAAGCTGAACTGAATACTGGAAGCAAAGCAATGGGGTCAAGGCTGGATGCCTAGCCGTCAGAGCACGGGGTGCAGAGCCCGTGGTGGGAAACAGTTCCACTGGTATTGCTCTTACCTGCCAGGGCCAGCTGTAAGGGACGGCATCCTCACCATTGACAACCCGGGTGGAGGGATTGTAGGAAGGTCGGCCACAGCCCGAGGCTGGAGGGGAGAGTTGAGATGTCAATCATCCAGAGGGTCCCCCCAAGTAAAGAAGAGGCCCAGGTCCCAGTCCCAGCTGTGCCACAAACTTGCTACGTGACCCCGTGCAAGCCCCTTCCTCTCTCTGGACCTCTGTAGACACATATGAACAGCGAGCATCTGGACTACAGCAGAGGTTTCCAGAGTCTCACTACAGCAGGGGTTTCCAGAGTCTCAGGAGTCCAGGGTGGAGGTGAACGTGTGGCCTCCTTCTATGGCAGGCCTGAAGGGATTGGTGTACTTAGAGCAGTGCCTGGAGCCCAAGAACCCTCAAGAAGTGATAGCTGTCATCGTGAAGTGAGGTGGTTTCGGAGGAAGACTGCCTGAGTTCATAGTGCAGCTCTGCCCCTCGTTCTAAGGTGAGCTATTTTACTTCTCTGAGGATCAGTTTGCCATCTATAAAATGAGGATAATAATAGGACTGACCTCATGGGGCTGTTGTGAGGATTACATAAGATAATAGAAGAAAAATCCTTAGATTCTACCTGTCATATACAAAAGTAAGCACTCAATAAATGTTATCTGGGGCCGGCCAAGTGGCGCGATGGTTAAGAACTCGCTTGGGATGCCAGAGGACCCCAGTTCGGATCCCACATATGAGGGCCAGTGACACTGCCCTCTACAGCTAAGATGCTGAACAACAGTTCAACCTGGAGCTGGGCTGCCGTGAGTCGCTGGCGATGGTGTAGGCTGCAGCCCTTGTGGCAGTGGGTTGCCATGGGTACTGTATGTAGCCAGCAGCCAGCGTGAGTGGCCAGCAGCCGCAGTGAGCGGCCATCCAGAAGCCGGCGACTGATCTGCCTTGCCAGGGAAGAACGCAATGATGGTGACAACTTGGGCCAGTGAAGCAACATCCTCCATAACTAGACTGAAGAACAAAAGGACAGCAACTTGTCTGTTCCCCTTCCCCCGATTCCCCAGTGCTATTCCCCTCCCCCAATTTCCCAATAAAAATCTTTAAAATAAATAAATAAATAAATGTTATCTGTTGGCATTACTGTCAGTCAAGGGAGGCTGTTTGGAAGAGGTGGCCCTGAGCTGGAGTTGTAATATGGCAGAGGGACCAGGAAAAGGCTAGACCACAGGCTGTGGCAGGGGTAGGGGGAGTGGGAGAGGGGAGTTGGAGGGTTAAGCAGAGGAGCAGGAATTCCATCACAAGCAGTCTAACCACAGAGCCCAAACTCTTCACCATTATATTTTGTTTACTGTCCCCATCGAGGACTCCACCATAGCCCTTTGGGTTCTTCAGACTTTCCCCTGAGCAGGTCCATCCATGGCTTCCTCTTCATTCTCCTGCTCCAGCCCCAAGCTGAAAGCCCCCACAATCATGTCCTAGGTACAAGCTGAGGCCCCTTCCTATAGATCTAGGTGTTGGGTTCATGAAACCCAGGGCAGGTGGCAGATTTCAAGGGCTCTCGCCCAGTGCAACACAGACACAGGCTGGGGTCTTACCAAGGGCCACAAATAGGAGGGAAGTCAGCAGCCGGAGCATCGTGAGTCTTGAGATGACAAGGAAGACACTCAGAGTCTGGGACTTTATATACAGGGCAGAAGGCAGGTGGTGGTGGGCTGGATTGGGCCCCATTCCTAGAACAGGTGGTGGAAGGCCCAGTTTCCCATGATCCAAGGCCATAGCCCTCACCCACTGCAGATGGGGGTATGACAGCCAACGGCAGGACCCAGAGTTCCAACAAATGGCATTGAATGGCCAGCTGATAACAGGGGAGGAGGAAGGAAAATTCACGTCAGAACAAGCCAGCCTCTTCCAGGAAAGAACATGGGCTCTGGAACTGGTCAGACGTGGGTTCAAATCTTGCCACCTCCAAGCTCTGCAACCTTGGGCACATGGCTTAACCTCTCTAAGCCTCAGATTTCTCATCTCTAACATGGGATTAGTATCCACCTCAATAAAAAAAAATTTTTTTGTTCAGTACTTTCTTTATATCATGCTATTCTAGGGGATGCAGCCGTGAACAAGACATGGTCCCAACTCTCCTGGAGTTTGAGTCTAGTGGAGGAGACGATGACAAATCAATAAAAATAAGCAAAGGCTATTTCTGATTGTGGTGGTAGATGATCTGAAGAGACTGACACATGAGTGACTAGGGTGGGAATGGAAGTAATTCATTGAGATGGGGGGCCAGGGAGAGTGACATTTGGGCTGAAGAGGTCATGTCTGATGGTAAAAAGCCATTGTGGGAAGCCCTGAAGGAATAGCACTCCCAGTGGAGATGACAGCAAGTGCAACGGTCTGGGGGCTGGGATGGGCTTGGCTTGTTCAAGGAGTGGGTTGTTAGTGTGGCTGGAGCATAGCAGGCAAGGTGGAGAGTGCTGGAGGATGAGGTCAAAGAAGAGACGACCCCTAAAGCTGAATTCACTCAGACCCAGCAGTTCCACTCCTAGGATAGACCCTCAAGAAAATCTTGTACATGTGCCCCAGGAGGCATGCACAAGAATGTTCCCAGCAGCCTTGTCCTCAACCCTCAATTACAAAAACCCTAGAAAGAACTCAAATGTCTCTCAAGGAGAATGGATGAATGTGTGCAGTATATTCACAGGATGGAGTAAGAATCAGCAGTCAAAAAGGGTGAATCGCAGTGACATGCCACAATGTAGATAATCTCTAGGAATATAAATTAAGAAAAAAATCATCCTGGAAAATTAAATACAGACTAATACCCTTTTTTACAGAGTTAAAAATAAGTAAAGGGCCGGCAGAGTGGCTCAGTTGGTTAAGAGCTTGCTCAAGAGTGTGAGCTCTGAGCAACAGGGTCACCAGATCGATTCCCACATGGGCCAGTGAGCTGCGCCTGAGCTGAGCTGCCACTGAGCTACCAACAGGTGGCAGGATGGGTCAGCTGGTGAGAGCATGTGCTCCTAACAACAAGGTTGCCTGTTCGAGATGGTGGGCTATGCCCGCACACAACTAAAGACTGAACTCGGCGCCTTGAGCTGAGCTGCTGCCCAGGTGACTCAGAGGATAGAGCACGCGCTCTTAACTACAAGGCTGCTGGTTCGACTCCCACATGGGATGGAAGCTACACCCACCCACAACTAATTGAACACAGCACCATGAGTTGAGCAGCTGCGAGCCGACGATGGGCAGCCAGATGGCAACTGGACTTGGAGCTGAGCTTGCTGCAACCTCCACAACTAAGATTGAAAAACAACAACTTGGCTGTTCCCCTTCCCCAATTCCCCAACACTATTCCCCTTCCCTGATTCCCCAATAAAATCTTTAAAAAAATTTTTTTTAATTTAAAATATACTTTTATTTTTTAAATTTTATTATTTTTTTAAATTTGGGGGGGGGGAACAGTGTGTTTTTCCAGGACCCATCAGCTCCAAGTCAAGTAGTTGTTTCAATCTAGTTGTGGAGGGTGCAACTCATTAGCCCATAAGGGGATCGAACCGGCAACCTTGGTGTTATGAGCACTGCACTCTAACCAACTGAACTAACTGACTGCCCTCTAAAATATACTTTTAAAGGAATACAAATAGGTGGATAAAACTATGAAAAGGCAAGCAGATGTGTGGTGGACATAGGGTGCTGGATAATGGTTGGCTCAAGCCTGTGGTGAGGACGAGGCAGATAGAGCAGATGTTGCGAGAGGGTCTAGCTTTACTTTCGTAGTCTTTGTCTCGTTTTGGTTTTATTGAAGGTTAATTCACATACAACAAAATTCACCAGTTTTAACTATAAAACTAATGTTTGGGGCCAGCCGAATGGCGCATTGGTTAAGAGTTGGCTTGGGACACCAGCTCTGAGCAGCAGGGCCCTGGTTGGGATCTCACATGAGGGCCAGTGATGCTGCGCCCTCTACAGCTAAGATGGTGAACAACAGGTTGACCTGGAGCTGGGCTGCCATGAGTCGCGGTGACGGCGTAGGCTTCAGTGGGTCTGGCCAGCAGCGGGTGTGTGCTTTCGTGAGCTGCCGTGAGCTGCTGTGAGCAGCCGTTCAATGGCCGGCGAGCAACTGCCTCACCCGGGAAGAGCACAATGATCACAATACCAACATGAGCCAGTGAAGCAACATCCTCCACAACTAGACTGAAAAACAAAAGGACAGCAACTTGTCTGTTCCCCTTCCCCAGTTCCCCAATTCCCCAATAAAAATTTTAAAAACAAAAAACTAATGTTTGGACAATTATATACAGTCATGTAGCCACCACCACAATCACGATACAGAATAATTTCATGACCCCAAAATTTCCCTCCTGCCTCGTCTCCTTCTAGCTCACCCCCAACACCTTGCCCCTGACAATCAGTGAGCTGCTTTCTGTCATTCAAGTCTGACCTTTTCTAGAATCTTTACTACATGTGGAAGACACAGTATGTATCTTTTGTTTCTGGGTGTCTCTTACTTAGCATAATGCTTTGGAAATTCATCCTGTGTCATTATGTTAGATGTGATTTTGAAGGTGCTAACTACATAATGTAAAATAACTATATGTCAATCTAAATAGAAGTGGCCACGAGTGAACTAATGACACCAAAAACAATGATGAGAGTATGTCATGGATTGAGGATTATGATTTATCCAATTCTATTACCTGAACGAGAGAGAGAGAATAAGAAAAAGAGGTGGGTGAAGGGCAGACCCTGAAGGGTTTCTCTGCAAGTCACCTAATAAAGAGTTGGGTCTTTATTCTCAACATAGGGAGAAAGCCCTGGGGGAGAGGGGAGAGGGTGGTGATTAAGTAGGGGAACGACCTGGGATCGCAATTATATTTGAAAAAAATCTCTTCCTGGGTGCTGCGCAAAGGACTGTGGATGAGAGAAAGGGGGACCAGCTGGAACTATTTCAGGGGAGGGGCAAAGCAGGGCTGGGGGTGGGGTGGGGCTTGGCCTTGGACAGTGGAGGTGGCATTGGGGACATAGGAGTGGGATCAGGGTGTATTTTGGAGATAGAGCAGTACCTGAGACAGAGCAGACCTCTGTGAAGTGTGAAGCAGTTCCTGGCACAAAGTCAGTGAATTTAGTTCCCATTACTTTGTAGGAACGACTTGGTACACCCTTGTTGGCTGTTGGAAATAGCATCTCAGGCAGGCCTACATGTTATAGGCGTTCAATAAATGTTTGCTAAATGAGGCAAACTGGCGCTGAAGACTTTCCTGAGTAATCCTTGTTACTCCTCCACACCCAGTGCTCTAAGAATGACTGACTCCTTCCTGCTGGTGTTACCGACTCAGTGTCGAGCCCTCCTTTGGGGCTCCTGGGTTCTGGAAGCACGAGAGGGAACCCATGCTTAGCTGCTTTAGATGGACCCCTAATGGTGGAATGTCAGGCCTCAGCTGGGCAGGTTTTCTTTCAGGAGTGCACCCTCTCCCATCACACCCTCAAGTGATGTCAGCCTGGGCCTGAGGAAAGTGTGTGGACACAACAGCAGCAGCTGTGAAAATCCTTCAAACTGTGATAAAAATAGTCATGCCCTCCCTTACCACCTGTTCCCTTTGGGCCTGGACACGTTTATTTGCTCAGCTTTAAAGCGCAGAGTCATTTCTCAGACCCTGAGCTGAGGAAGGAAGAGGGAGGGGTGGGGCGGTGGGTGAGAGGTGGGAGGAACAGGTCAGGTCCTCCCAGATTCCACTGAAGAATGTCTGAAACAGATAGAACCTGAAATGATCTGGTAAGCTAATCCATCTCTTCTAATAGATGGGGACGTGGAGCCCAGAGAACAGTGAGGACTGGGTCAGGTCCCTCTGGTTTGTTACTGCCTGGCCTGGCAGAGGGTAACCCAGGGTAGAGGGAAGCCCCCCCCCCATCACCACAATTTCACATGGTAAGCCACCCCAGCCTTTCTGCAGGTGGCCTTGAGCAGGTCCCAGCTTCTCTGTTGGCTCTGCAAACAGACATGTGGCTACCCTGGCCCTCTGCCCTCCAAGAGGACTAACCCATCACAATCCATCAGGTCATCTCACTTTCAGGCCTTATGGACACACTGTCAGCTGCACTGTTGATTCACCGTCTGGGAGTTTTCTGGCCTAGAAAAAGATGAAGCAAAATCCCTAAAGATGAACCTCCTCCCAACCCCAGGGAAGAGAGAGCTGGCCAGGGAAGCTGGAAGGGACGGCTCTAGGGTAGGCCTCAGGCTGGAGCAAAGCAAGCCAGGTCCTTGGAGGTGGAAGTCCAGGCCTGCAGGGGAGTATGGGGAATCAGGAGGTAGGCCTGGGGAGGGGTTGGGCGTGGGGCTGCTGGGGAGGGGTTCCCATTATTTCTCGTTCCCACCTATGGGAAGCTCCATGACCACAATCTTTCTCTTGTTCAGCTTTGAATTCCCAGGACCGAGAAGGGCCCTGTCGAATCGTAGGTGCTCAACAACATACACATTACATTAAAAGAGACAACGAATGAATGAATGAAGCTAAAGGACTCTTCAGATGCCTGACTCTTCCTACCCTGAAAGGACAGTTGACCCCAACCTTCACAAAGGGGGCGCCTGGAGGCCAGCCCCTCTGTGTGTCTGGGAGGAGCTCAGCGTCAGCATTGGGGTGATGGTTCT